ATATTTATTTTTGGTACTTTCTATTTATTATTTGGTAATCATAAAACAATTTCTAAAATTATTTTCGTGTACCATAATTGTTCCAAAAATCCGTATTCTCAAAATATTATGATATTATTACCAAATATTAAATTTCCATAATTTCAAATTAATTACTTAATTTTCGGGAATTAAATACCGAATTACCAAAACTGTTTTTCCCAAAAATTAATAATTAAATACTTAAATTACGAATTTAATTCTAAACAATTTTATGCAGTCTGAACATCATCATTTCAAGTTTATAAAATTATAATCACGAATTTTAATTGTCCTTTTCGGTTCAATATATATTAATACCGAATAAGATTATTTAAATCTGGAAAAATAGAAAGTAAAAACATAAAATTTATTTTAATTTTCCAGATTACTTAAAATCATATTTTAACATCTCAGAAGTATTAAAATTATTTTCCTTAATTTATTTTGTATTTATCTTGTAATTAATCAAATTAACAACAAATCAACTAATACTTTATAAATTAGAAAACAAATTCCGAAAACTAATTTTAAATAATATTTTAAATTCATATTTTAAATTCTCAGAATGATTAATCAAATTAACTACAAATCTTGTAATTAATCAAATTAACTAGAAATCAAACAATACTTTAAATCATATTTGAAAGTCTAAAATATAATAAAATTTAATTTTCTAATTTTAGAAATATTTTAATTGGTTAAAACAGTTTTTAACCGATTAACCCGAAAATAAAAATAAATCCAAAATTTAATTCAAAAATCATATTTTCGAATTTTATAAAGTCCAGAATCATATTTTGGAACTTTCTTGAATTTTGGATAATTTTTGAAAATATATACACATATATTTTATTTTATTAATTATCAAAAACCCTAACAGCAATTAGATCTAGAAAACTTATAATTCACATAAGTCGGCTCTGATACCACTGTTGGGTTCTATGCTTGTATAGGGCAGCGGAAAACAAAAATTTTGATGTCCAAACGTAGATCCACCCAGGACCTCTTATGATTATTATAAGTTATTGTTGAGAAATATACCTTTCTTGGCGAGCAAGCAACGATATGTGTAGGTTGATGGATAAGAAAACCCGCTAAATAGGAGTAAAACATATGTCATATCCACAAAATAGGAGTTCAAACTTAAACTTCTCTAAATAAGAGTAGTTAATTAAGTAATAAAGAAAAAATAGTATTAAATATCTAATTAATCTCTTCTCTCTCTGGTCCATCTCCTCACGGCCACCCCACCATGCCTCTCTCTTCCCTCTCTCTAATTAAAAAATATCTCCTCACGGCCACCCGATTCATCCTTTTTTTCTCCGAAAAATTGTATCTTCATTAGGCATTGATTTTGGTTTGGTTTTTCTTTTCATTTTTGTATTCGATTGTTTTTCCTTTTAATTTTTTGTTTGATTGTTTTCATATTAGTTGTGTTTAAATTTTACTTCCAATTTTAGAAAAATTTGGTGATAGTAATAAAAAATTTGACATTGTATGTTGGCAATTATGACATCTCTCTGAACCTGTCATTTTTTTACATTTTATATTGACATATTTGGCATTACGCAATAACATGTTTGTCATTATGCAATGACAGGTTTGTCAGTATGCATTATCGTCTTTGACATTGTGGCTTTGGTTGACATTGTATTGGAATTGAAAGCTTTCTCCCATGGCAGTGACACCATGGCATTATGGTGGCGACAATGGCAGTAAATTCTGACATTGACAGCAGAAAATGGGGGCGATGGAGGCGGCATCCGCAACAAATGGGCATGAGAGCGGTAGATCGTGGTGGCAATGATGGCGATAATGCCAACCATGGCGGTGTTAGTGGCAGCAACACTATAGATGGTGGCCGCATTTAATAGCGATGACAGCAAGAGATTGTGGCGATGGAAAGACGGAAACGACAGTATCGACGATGGCGGCAAGAGTGGTGTCAGTGACATGTGCGGCAGGGGTTGTAGCTAATTTGGATTTTTTTTAATTGATAAAATGTATTTAATTTCATTGTAATATGAATATAACTTCTATTTTGGTACATGGTCGATGTTTTACTTCTATTTCGCTCCTTAACTCTAAGTCATTAGATTAATTAAGTTAATTACTCCTATTTAGGGGAGTTTATGTTTCAACTCTTATTTTGAGGATATCTCATATGTTTTGCTACTTCTTTGGTCCTTCTCCCTTGATGGATTGATCCAAGAGCTAGCCACAAAAGTATATGACCTCCAGTTGAGACACACAAACAATAAAGAGTGTTATAGAGAAAATTATGCTAGTAATATTTCTCTACAATATTTCTAAAATATAAAATATTTGGTGTAAAGTATTAAGAGAACAAAACAAATTTTTCACTCTTAAAATTATGCAAGGGCCGAAAATACTAGTAGTGCAAAAGGGGTGGGGTGATCTCCTATTTATAAGGAGAATAATCCACATTCCTATTCCTAATAGGAATGTACCTTTTAGAGTTTAGGAAGGAAATCAAATCTCATTCCTATTCTACTTAGGAAATTTCGAATGGCACTTTAAGGAAGCTTCCAAATTATTTTGTCAACTTTAATTATCATATAATTAACACAAAATAAATAATATAACATTTATTATATACATATACATACATACATACACACATACATACATACATACATACATACATACATACATACATATATATATATATATATATATATATATATATATATATATATATATATATATATATATATATATCCTTTAATATAATAAAGGAGACTCGGATGCACAGAAATTCGACATTTGGCACGTGTATGTGGCAAAATTTAAACATGTCAGCATGTCACGTAATATTCGAGAAAACCAGCGGAAATAAATTATATCCGATGCAACAGCGCATCTCGCGTTGAAAATAATTGACCGCAGATTTTCTACGCGATAATCACTGGCCTTCAACGAAATTCTTTCCTTCAGATTACAACAATACGAACTCCGATCCTATTATGATGATAGCATAAAATAATTAAAAATAAATATGAAAAAATATAAATACAATTTAAAAAATATTTATAGATTTTTTCATGGATATTTATAGATCTTTCCTTCAGATTACAACAATATTTTTCATTTAATTTAAATAGAATTTTAGGACCATGCTACATATATTAATCCTTTATCTTACTTCCATATTTAAAAATTACATACCTAAATTAATAAGTTACAAAGGTTTATTGTGGAAATTCATGTATAATAAGATTTAGAATCAATAGAGTACCTATATTAGTGGAAATTAGAATATTATTTTTTACATCAAAGATTATTAAGAGTGAACTAATAAACGCTCAAGAACACGACAATTTCTTCAAGAATTGGCTCTCAAATAGCTAAGAAAAAAAGGAATGCTTATGCAATTAAAGAGAATTGAAATTTTGAAGAGTTGTGTGTAAAATGAGAGGATTTGGGTGCCATTTTATAGCCTAAAATGGGATAAACCCATTGCAAAATTTCCAACAGGATCAGGAAAAAAATTTTAGAGTTGCAGAGTGATAATCGATTGTCAAAACATGATAATCGATTATCAAAAGATTCTTTGTCCAAAAATTTAAAATTCTATCCGTTGGAGGACAACGGTAATACTGATAATCGATTGTCAACTAGTGTCAGTCGACTATTAGCCCTCTCAGAAGTTTCTGGGTTTAAGAAAAAACGCAGACAATCGATTGACAATAAGTGTCAGTTGATTATTGAATGGTTCTGAACTTGAGGTTCAGAACTGCAGCAGCCAATATTTGAATGTCATTAACTGACAGTCGATTATCAGCTGGCTAAAACCATCCTAGCGAGAAACTTAACTCGAAAAGCCGATGTCCAAAAACGAAGTGTTCCCAAAAGTAAAAACCAAGTTTATATGAAATTGTAAAAGTTTTTATACAATGGATGGAGTATATCATGAAAACTTAAAGTCTAACAAAGATTATAAATGATTATTCCTGGTGTTCGGATTGAATTTTCATGTTTGATTTTTTTGTCAAAGTTTGTAAATTTTGACCTCGATACGCAAGAAAAATATAATATATTTTGTTATAAATATAATATCAATAATTTTCTTTTGAGACATGTCTTTGAAATATTAAAATTCACCTTGTTTCATGTGACATTACTTGAAATGTAATAGAATAATCAGTACTTTTATTTTAGTACTTTATCCATTTTTAACTATTTTCCCTTAAAAATTCACGTTGCATCAAGGGAGGAAATGTTTGGGAGTGATTAACGTATGGATAAAGTGATTTCCACAAAAGCTGAAAGCAGAAGCATCTCCTACCTGCTTCTCCGAAACGGTGTTCTATGTACAAAATAGTGGTGGTGAAAAGCAGAAGCTAAATGATTAAAAGCAACATACTGCCAAACAGTCTCAAAATACAAAGTATGATCATTGACCGCCATTACTATAATCGGACCGTATTGCTGTTTTTTTTTTTGATTAAAAAAAAGAATGAATATGACGAACCCCATGGCGTTGAATTTGCAATTTCTGCCCCACTAAAACCCCACCAACTCCTAGTGGCAATAACGCAATAACAAGTTCATTTCCTCCACTTCTTCTCAGTCCTTCTTTCCCGGCATTGACCATGCTAGGGTGCCACCACATGAGTGCTACCATGAGTGCATTCATGCTTCGCACAGATAAACACGATAATTGTGTGTGCGACACAGACAATTATCGTATGTGTTTGTCTGTGCGAAATATGGATGCACCCATGGTAGCAACACCCATGTGGTGGCACCCTAGCATTTTCCTTCCCCGCATTTATATGCATCTTCCTCCTTCTCTCCCCACTCCACAGATTATCCTCTATCTATCTATATCTCAAACCCCACCTTCTTCCTTCTAATTCCAGACTATTAATTAATTAATTATTTAATTAATTAATCTCGATCTTCTCAAACCCCACCTTCTTCCTTAATCGCACGATTATAAAAACCTAACCAGTATGTAAGTCTGATTAATCGCCTTTTTTTACTCACCCCAAAAAAAACAAAAAAAAATTGTTTAGTGCTGTAATTAGTTGTGTTATCGGTTTTATTTATCTGCTGAGGAAGAGGGACATGCCGGAATCTGAGGGCGGAACTCCGACGGCGTCGGCGCCGGCGACTCCGGGCACGCCGACTCCGCTATTCACCTCCCTCCGGGTGGATTCGCTGTCTTACGATCGGAAGTCGATGCCCCGGTGCAAGTGCTTGCCTTTCGACGCCCCGACTTTTGGGACGCCTCACTCTTGTCTCCTCACCGACTTCCCCGCCCCGGACGTCTCCCTCTCCCGTAAGGTACTAACTCCCACTCACTGCTAAATCTTCACATCCCCTAAATTTTATTTGGGTTTGATCTTATTTTGGATTTTAATTTCAAGAACCATGCTAGAATTACACCAAAAAATGTACCCCACTTGTACACCACAGCTTTGCACAGACATTTTGATGATTTACACCGATATAAGTGTTGGTGCGTTAACAAAAATGTACACGACACAAATGTTGGTGCGTTAACAAAAAATTAGTTTTATACCAACACAAAATGTAGGTGCAAACCTGCGGGGTACAAATTGGGGTATAAATGTTGGGGTACACATAGCTTAATCCTAATTTCAATATTCAGAGTCCCAAGAGTCATGCTAATCCACAACACGGTCTTGTGTCAGTGTAGTATTAATAGGACCATGCTACACTTACACCAACAAATATACCCCATTTGTACACCACAGGTTTGCACAAACATTTCGATGGTTTACACCGACACAAGTGTTGGTGCGTTAATAAAAATTCACACAGACACAAATGTTGGTGCGTTTAACAAAAATTAGTTTTACACCAATACAAAATGTTGGTGCAAAACTGCGGGGTACAAATTGGGGTACAAGTCTTGGGGTACACATAGCATAATCCTATTAATAAGGACCATGCTACACTTACACCAACAAATATACCCCATTTGTACACCACAGGTTTGCACAAACATTTCGATGGTTTACACCGACACAAGTGTTGGTGCGTTAATAAAAATTCACACAGACACAAATGTTGGTGCGTTTAACAAAAATTAGTTTTACACCAACACAAAATGTTGGTGCAAAACTGCGGGGAACAAACTGGGGTACAAGTCTTGGGGTACACATAGCATAATCCTATTAATAATTCTATCTATAGAATACAAAATTTACAAAAAAGAGGCATAGTTATCTCATTTAATAGCTACTCTGGAATGCGGAGTAGAATTTGAAATTTTATCTGGGGATGGCGGGAGTAACTACCCTTCCATCTTGTTCCTTTTAATTAGAAAAATTAACTTTCTTTTTTCCATTTTTATTTCTTTTCTTTTCCATTCTTTTTAATTCCTTTCATTTTTTTCTAACAATGACTTAAAAAGCTATTAATATATGATTAATATAACATAACATTATACTCCCTCCGTTCAAATATCTTTCACCTGTTTGATTAGGAAGTAGATTAAGAAAAATTAAAAAGTGTAAAGACTTTTCATGCGTGTGTGCATAACTAGAGGAAATACTCCCTCTGTCCCTCTAAGAACCCTTTGTTATACGGAGTAACTTTTTATAATTTTTAGGAAGTGTTACAAAAGGTGGAAGTTTATCAAAATACTTTTATTAAATATGAGTGAAGTATATTAAATGAAATGAGTGAAGTGTAATAATTAAAGTAAGTTTGGATATTTATGATAATTTAATTATTAAAAAAGATAATGAGAATATTTATAGAGGACAATTAAAAAAAGCTAATGGAAATTTTTACCGAGGATAGGGGGAGTATATACTCCATATTTCGGAGTAGATTTTGAAGTACTCTCTCCCAAATCTTTCTTTATAGAATACTATTCCAATTTCATGGTAACTTTTATTCATTTGTGTTTTTTCATAACCTATATGGCTAAATAATAAAATAAAATATTTTTGCCATTTTGTTTTGTTAAAAATTTGATGTAGTTTTAAAATATGTAAGTTTAAATTTTTATTTCAATACAAATATTTAAATAAAACAGAATGAAAAATTTTGCGATTTTTTCCGTTTTGCGCAACGTAACGAAAGAGATGGGAGGAGTGAGTATATGTATACTCCTTATTTCGGAGTATGAAGTTGGGGAATTAATGAAGCTATTAAGTTAACTAAACTGAAAGACCAGGATTATTAACCATGATTGAAAATAATTTGAAAATGACATGCATATTGATTGCGGGATTTCTTCAAAAGAGCAGCCTCTATTAATGGGAAATGAGAGCTATAAACCTATTGTGTTTATGGTGTGGTTATGGACGGCTAGGCTGCCACCACATGAGTACTACCATGGGTGCACCCATGCTTCACACAGACGATAATTGTATGTGTCGCATAGACAATTATCGTCTTGTGTAAAATAGTGATGGATGGCCGGCGAAAAACACAGTGTCTTTCTCTATGTTTTTCCACATCACCCATAAGCAGTATAAACGGGGCCCAGTTGTTTTAATTTTTTTTCTTTGGCCCGATTTTTGTCAATATCATGAATTTATGTTCCCATATCTCTCTTCTACTTGGCTCTTTTGGGTGGCAACACTTTCAATAATAATAATATTTTTATTTTTGTAAAGATCTATATTAGGAACGTATTTCAAAATTACATTGCAAAATAAATCTTTTGATATTTTGTTGCGAAATTGATTAATAATAAAAAGAAAAGAAAAAAAATAAGGAAGAGCACAAAGAAGAAAAGGAAAAAAAAGGAAAGAAAATCAAATATTTTTTGATTGTGAAGATCTTGCTTTTGGCTAGCTAGATTGGTGACCATTTAATCTAGCATGCTTTTGTTGACTTTCTCTTGGGATTGCATGTTGGTGTTTGACTATAAAATAGGAGCATCGTGCGATGAATGGAGTGTGGGTTTTACACACCACCAAGGTAGAGAGAGAATAGAGGAATTTTACACAAGAATACCACCGGGAAAATCCAAGGGGTCTTGGTGAGTGCGGGTGAGTATAGAGAGTAACTGGTTTTAGTTACTCGGAAAAATACATCCAGCCATAGGATGTGGAAAGATCTGTTTATGAGTGTCTGAAATTTAGTCTTGTAAACAGGGGAGAGTTTTTTGTATATTGTCCTGAAATAGTGGAAATATAATTTTTTTCTCTCATATTTTCTTCTTGTGTTTGTTCTTGTTAAATATATTCTTACTATATTTAATATTAATATATTGGTAGCTTCCATAATTGTATAGGATGTAATTAATATTGTTTCCTATTATCATTAGGAAACTCTTGTATATATATACATGTAATCTCCCATAATAATTTATGTGAAAATATTCATTCTTCATGGTATCAGAGCAATAATCAATCACAGCTCCCTCTCCAACCCTAATTCTCTTCTTCTCTGTTTCGGCCCCCCCTCTCACGGCAGCCCTTCTCGCCGGCGACCATGGCCGAGGTTTCCTCCGTCTCTTCCGATAACAACTCCTCTACATCTCCCCACCTTGCCTTCACCACTATCTCTAACATTAAACTCCATATTCCTGTCCAACTCAGTCTCTCAGAACCAAATTACAAAAAGTGGAGTCGGTTGTTTCGTCTCCTGATCCTCCGCTTCAACCTCAAAGGCTACATCAATGGCACAACCCGTGTCTCCTCTGCCGATGATACTGAATGGTATCAATTTGATGCCCTAATTCAAGGATGGATCCTGGCTACGATCTCGGATGAAGTCTCCGACCTTGTGCTCTCCAACAATCTCACTGCTCATGCACTATGGACGGCAATTTACAATCTTTTTCACGACAACAAGCACGCCCGAGCGATGCAACTAGAGCACCGTTTCCATACAACTGTTAAAGGTCAACTCTCCATCAACGAATATTGTCGTCTTCTCAAGAATCTCTCCGAGTACCTAGATGACGTGGATGCTCCTGTCACCGAACATGCCCTTGTACTTCAGGTTCTTCAAGGCCTCCCTCACAACATCCGGAGTCAAGTTCAATTCTTGCAATACCAAAATCCACTCCCGACTTTCTTGGAGGTCCGATCCGCCCTATTTCTCGTCGAACAACAACAAACTGACGCCATGTATGGCGTCGGCTCGCCGTCCACAGCCCTCCTCAGCACCGGCGGCGGCGGCGGCGGCGGACAGACGGGCAGCGGATACCAGCGAGACCGAGGCGGCGGCTACGGCAGGCCTAGGAGCAGCGGCAGCGGCGGATTTGACGGCGGATATGGCGGCGGCTACGGCGGACGCGGCAGGCATTCCGGCGGTGGCAGTGGAGGCGGCAATCGCGGCAGGCATTCCGGGCGTGGCGGCGGCAATCAACGGAAACCTGTGGGCTACCTCCCCTGGACAGCTCCCTCCCCTAACCCTGGCCTACTTGGGCCACGGCCCAACACACCCCACCCACTAGCCCAAGCCCA